CAGACCTTTACACAGGTAAAGACAGGGACAGACACTGACAAACATTTACACAGAGAAACTCTCTTTAAACTAAACACACACTTCCCTGAAAATAAGCACATAAGCCATTTAATTTGACCACACACTCCCTTTATCATGTTGCTTGTGATCCTGTGGTTCTCCTCACCTGTGACTGGGCATTGACGTTGGCTCCGTAGTTAACCAGCTCTGCTACCACCCTCTCCTGTCCCGCCAGAGCAGCAATGTGCAAAGCTGTGTTCCCTTTCTGCTGGGGGAGACAGCTGAGCTGACATCCGACAGCTGATAAGCAACCTGCCTGTATCTGTGCAAGCTATGGGGCACTGATCTAAATGCAAGGAAAGTATAGGGATTCTGAGATAAATACTAAGGAGTGATAGGGACTCTGAGGTAAATACGAAAGAGGTATAGGGACTCTGAGGTAAATACGAAAGAGGTATAGGGTAGTAATTGACAAAATGACACTTCATGAACCATTTGCTATATTTTTTTAACCCCCTAGATGGCGCTCTTGGTTTGCTTTTGGGCATGCTTTGTGCCTTTTTTTGAATGGAGAGCACCATCTAGTGGGGTCAAAAAATACAGCAAGTGGGTCATGAAGCATCATTTTGTCCATCTCTAGTATAGTGATATAAAGAGAGACTAAGGTAAATACCGTATAAAGGAAATAGAGTGACTTTGAGGTAAACACAGGTGGGGTACAGGGAAAAGAAATAACTAGAAACTCTTATCGTGGCTAACTGGACATGGGTGAGTGAGTGAGACAGGATGCCACTCTGCTGTCTTGCATGGATTTCATGCCAGTTAAACAGCCAAGACCTCAAGTGGACAAGCCAGCAGAACACGGGCTATGATGCTCATGTACTCTGTTCTGAATGAGACCTGCTCATTCAGGTCTGCAAAGCTTTGTTTGTTTCAGCTTTTCTTGTAAATGGTGAATATTGCTAAATATCTATGATTATGTTGAGGATAATTCCTCAGTCTTCCAGTTTTGCTTTCGCACTTCTACTGACAATTTTCATTTTCAATGTATCTTTGGATTGTTTTTTTTTTTCAAATAGCTTATTTGTTTGAAAGATACATTTTAAATTGACATAAAACTGTTAGAAATGTTGGAATGTTCCAAATGTTTATGTTTGAAAATCAGAAAAAAAGCAAATATTTGGGAATTGGATTTTAAACTAAATCATCTTAAACGATTAATCAACTATCAAAAAAGATGTCAATTATTTTTCCCGAAATCCACTAATTGCTCACTGCTCTAACCAAGAGCTTTACAAGAGGAGGTATTCTTTTAATAAATAACCCACTTGCAGTTCGACTTATATTACCTGGAATGCACAAAAATATGATTCATGAAAATTCAAACAATGGAGATATCTGTTTTTTGCAAATGAACTCTTCACGTATTGGACTTGATTGAGTGGATACTGTACCTTAGTTGTGGCCTCCAGATCAATATTATTGTGCAGTAGCTCCAATACCATCTTGACATGGCCTTCTTTAGAGGCCAAGTGGAGGCCATTGAGGCCATTCTGTGGGAAGAGACAGAAGAGAATCTGTGACAAAGAACTGGCCACTGACATTCTGTGTAAAGTGACAGAAGGCATTACGTTACTGATAGTCTGTGGGAGGAGGTAGAAAAGAACGTGTTACACTGGATTGGTTGCTGACATTCCGTGGGAGGTGACTGAAGAAAACATGTTACATTGAACTGACCACTGATATTCTGTGGGAGTAGAAAGTAGATTACATCATATCCATTAAACACATACTGCCATAGCTTTTTGGGATGAAGGACTCAAGGGCAGGTGTTTTTAAGAAACAAATGTGGTTTTATTGACTTAAAACAAAACAAACAAAGACTGGAAATAAACTGGACTGAGACTGATCAAAATGAAAGGTCTACATGAGAAAGGACAAGGGCTGACAGGAGGAGCAATGTTAATGACTGGTCTAGGGAGAACAGAACATACAGTATATTCGAGACTGATAAGGGAGCTAATGAGAGGCAGCTGTAGTATTTAACATGAGGATTAAGAACAAGAGGTAAGACAAATGAATAACAGATGTGGCTTGTTAGGGCCACGCTAGGGAGGAGACAGGAGGGTCAGATGGATATATCAGGTAGGACATGACAGTGCCCCCCTCAAGCCATGCCCTCAGGGCATGAAGGTTGAACAGGGGAGAGGACCAAGAGGACAGGGCAGACACACAAGGCAGGGAATAGATAGGCCACCAGACAGGACAGGGCGTGGCAAGACCGACAGGGCACATGGGACATATACACCACAAAATCTCAGTGGGACAAGACAGGACAAAAGGCATTATAAGGGACATGGAACAGGCAGGGATCAGACCAGGGACCAAAAGAAGAGACCAACAGTCAGAACCATACAGAAGAAACAGACCAGACATGGGACTTGACCAGGTATCAGGGAGAAACACTACACGTCAGTGGGGACCTGACAGCAGAAGAAACAGGAACAAAGACAAATAGAACAGGTTATACAATGACAGGGTGGACAAGTAGAGGTGCAACAGAGACAGGATCGGGAACAGAAGTGAGAAAAACCTGGGACACAGACTGGGTGAAAGCAAGAGACAGGATCAGGAACAGTGCACACAATGCATGACAGGGCACTGGGACAGGGACTGAGGCATGAAGAACAAAAACAGGCGATGTCCAGGGAGTTGTATAGACACTAGGAAGCGAGGCGGAGTCTGTCCAGACCACAGGACCTGAGGGCCTGCAGGACAGGAGGACACTGAAGGTACTACAGGACAGGAGCAGGAGGGTGCTGCGGTCTCTCTCCCCAAGGCTGCAGCAGGAGAGGTGCCCAGGTGGACATCACTGGGCAGACCAGGGTCTGTGAGGCTGGCCCAGATAGTGGGTCCCCATCTCTCCCTCCCGGAGACTGAAACTTAGCCTGCCCCTCTTCTGGGCCCTAGCTTGCACTGTTGATGACACTGGAACTTGGGACCGGTTTGGTGCGAGTGTTAGGCTGAGATGGGGGCCCACAGAATGAGACTTAGCACTAGGCCCAGAGGGTCCCACTCCAATTGGCCCAACGTGGCCTGGCAGTGGCTGGGGAGTCGGGCGTCAGCCAGGAAGCAGCCGGCGGGAGATGACGAGACAGTTGGTGGCACGCCAGGAGGCTACAAGCTGGCTGCCAGGGTGACAACTGGAGATAAGGCAGGAGCTGGTGGGACATCAGGAGACGAGGCGGGTGCTGACAGGTTATCAGCACATGGGGCTGAACATCAGGAGATCAGGTGAGGCCGAGACACATGGAAGCAAGCAGGGTGCAACTGGGACACCTGGAGATGAGCAGGGTGTGGCTGGGGCACCTGGAGGCTAGAAGGGAGCAACAGAGGCAAAGACAGGCTCTGGGGGTGCAGCAGGGGAACAGACGGGCATGGCAGCGGTCTCACCGGGGTCAGGCTCTGGAGGCGTGGTGACAACCTCTTCTGGGTCTGGTGCTGGAGGCAACAGGACAGGCATGGTGAAAGCTACAGGCACTGCTAACTCCCTCCATTTCTTCTTACTGCATTGGGAAACTGCAGGAGGGGCTACAGCAAGCTGTGAGGGGCCGGCAGGCAAATCTGTGGTGAATTGCGGGAGGCTAGTGGGTGAATCAGTGGCGAGCTGTGAGGAGCCAGCAGGTGGATCTGCGGCAAGCTGTGAGGAGCTGGCGGGCAGGACAAATTCACCTCGCAGGAAAGTGGCATGCAATGGGACTACAGTGTGCTTTGAAGCACCAGTGTGTTGACCGGCATCAGGCGATGAAGAGGTGGCAGACTGAGCAGTCTCACGCTCAACTATTCCCTGCACTTCCGCCAGCAAGCACCAGACTTTCTCAGTTTACTGGGGATCTGTATCCGGGGTGAGTCTCACTAAAGCCTCCTCCACAGACCGGAAGAGAGCTATGGCTTGGATATCTTCCAAACCACGTGATTACTCCTCCACTCCTTCAGGAGGGAGAGGAACTCCTCTGCTTGAAGGCAGGGTGATTCCCATGGTGTGGGGAACCCCTTCGGTCCTAGGATCTGAGGCATCCAAGGTATCCAGTCTGCCAAGTGCAGGGAGAGTGGAGACATAGCCTGCCGGAATTGTTTTGGGAGTCCAGTCATTCTGTCATGGCTTTCAGGACAAGGGCTTGAGAGCTGGTGTTTTAATGAAACATAAGGGGTTTTATTGACTTAAAACTAAACAAACAGAGACTGGAAATAATGAGAGGGATCGAAACAAGAGGACTACCGTGACTGACAGGAGAAGTACTATTAATGATTCGGCTGGGAGGCAAAGGACTGATAAGTACATATAGACTAACAAAGCCAACGAGAGGCAGCTGGAAGTGATCAACACAAGGAGTAGGGACAAGAGGTAAGATAAATGAATAACTGGCATGGCTTGTTAGGGCCACGCTAGTGAGGAGACAGAAGAGTCAGGTGCATATGTCAGGCAGGACGTGACAATACCCACACGAAGGACAAACAGGAGGGAACCAAGGAGACCAAACAACAGGCCGGACACTCGGGACGGGGAACTGATAGGACACCAGACAGGATAGAGCGCGGCAGGAACGACAGTGCAGGGTCAGATGGATATGTCAGGCAGGACGTGACACACACTGCGAAGAATAACATATGAGTAATGTCAGCTCTTCTATAGGTCAGTCAAAGGTCTTTCACACCCACTGATGGCTCTGTGCGGGGCACCAGCACCCTCTTCAGCATGTGCAATTATAAGGAAACAAAGTTTCCCTTCATCCAGCTATGAAATTGAGTTATGAAGGAACAGAATAAAAATGTATCACATTCAGAGGAGGTGGGAGGGTAGAGGGTTAACCACCTTGGGCTCATCACAGCGGGAAGTCCAATGCAAAATTTACCATGGGGACCCCCCCCCATCCCAAACTCCAGTCCTTTGATGACAGACAATCACACACGATTGGCAAAAACTGACCAAGAACACCCCCATCCCCAGGTCAGCAAATCTTACCGTGAGCCCCCACCCCCCATCTGCCCCCCTTCCTCTCAGACTCCTCCTCCACCCCTGTTGGAGTGTATCAGGTAAGAACTTTCTTTCTGTGGAGCTACTGAAATACAAGCAGATAATGTATCCTCAGTTTGATCACTCCTCAGCTATGAGCACTGTGCACATTTCTGTAGATATTCTCTGCGTCAACTCCAGGCTGAAGGTCATTTTGTCCGCTCCACCGTTCCGGAAGCTTCTCCTTCTGCAGTGCTGACTGTGGATAGTGAAGGATCTTGGAGCAGCTGGGAAGCACCCCGTCTGTGTGTGCGGTCAGAGCTGCAGTGTCTCCTTAGTATTATGGGCTGTCTCAGGTGAGTCACAGCAAATATTCCAGTGATATGGGCATGCCAGAGGAATCTGCATTCAACACCAACAGCGGAGCCAGAGAGGTAGTCCCATTAGACTGGGGCAGGGGCGAGGGGGGGGGGGGGGGGGTGGTGGCAGAGAAGGAGAAATGAATGTCCTGCAGCTTAAGGGAAAATGCATCAGTGCAGGAAAAAGGGAAGAGTGACAGACATACAGAGAGGCAGAGAAACACATGGCTGTGTAAATGCGAAGACACACACTTAGAGAGCAGTAAGGAGCACCCCCACCCACACAAACATACACATAGGGAGCAGTAAGGAGCACCCCCACCCACACAAACATACACATAGGGAGCAGTAAGGAACACCCCCACCCACACAAACATACACATAGGGAGCGGTAAGGAACACCCCCACCCACACAAACATACACATAGGGAGCGGTAAGGAACACCCCCTTCCACACAAACATACACATACTTCCCCGATTAGCAACTTGTACTGCAATTATTCATAACTCTTAACAAGCAGTTACAACACTCAGTATCAGCAACAGTCATTAAAAAAAAAAACTTTGTTGACCAATATCTGCAATCACAATGCACAGAAATATTGTTACTCTCTCCTGAAAACTAAAAAAGGAAGTGTGAGTACCATCTTCAAAGAAGCAGGGATCGAACACAGCACCTTTATCCTATTTTGTGTTAGTGAGATCTTTAACGAAACATTATGGAGATTATAATGATCATTATGACTCATCCCAGCCCCATCGCCGCATCTGCACATCTCTGCTAAGTGCATGAAAGGAGACTTCATTGCTCATAAATCCAGTTATGGAGCCATTTCTGCTGCTTCTGAGCGCCAGAGATTGCTTCCAGGAACTCGGTGTGAATGCAGACAAGCTGTAACCTTCTGACATGTTGGTTTAGTGAACTGCTGAGGTGGTTGGAAAGCAGTCAGTGCCGGGGGGGGGGGCTGGTGAACTTCCTCAGCCTCCTCATACAGTATGTGAGCGTAAAAACCACTGCTGGCTCTGTCTCTTCCCCCTGTGTCTCTCTCCCACTTGCTCCCTCTCTCTGTCTCTCTTCCTCCCTCTCTCCACAATCCTCTCTGGCTCTACTTCCTCCAATCACATGTCTCGGTCCTGCCTCTTCTAGTTGCCTCCTCTACAATCTCACTGGTTATCTCTCCAAACCAATCATTGTTCATTCTGCCCTCAGAACAATTCTGTGTAAGTAAAACTCCCACGAGTGTTACTCAGTGGTAGAGATGTTGTAATCATGCATTGAGGTTTTCCTGTGAATGTGATTGTTACTCAGTAGCAGAGATGGTATCATGTTGCAGACAGACTTCCCAGTAAACGTAAGTGGTACTCTGTGGTAGAGATGATGTAATTGTGCAGATGGGCTTCCTGGTGAATGTGAGTAATACTCAGTGATAGAGATGGTGTAATCGTGCAGATGGGCTTCCTGGTGAATGTGAGTAATACTCAGTGATAGAGATGGTGTAATTGTGCAGATCGGCTTCCTGGTGAATGTGAGTAATACTCAGTGATAGAGATGGTGTAATCGTGCAGATGGTGACAAGTGGGTGTTTCTTTATTTCGTATTTACACACAACACAGGCACAAAGCCAAAGTCTGTCTCTCCCTTCACACTCATTTATAATTTACACCATTTTATTTAAAGAACACTCAGGAAACGCTCCCTCAGCCAGTGAGATTGAAGCAGACCCTGGCAGGTGTGTTACGTAACCAGGGATTCTCTCTGGGCTTGAGGCAGGTCTGCCAGTCACTGTAGGGAGCTGTATGCCATATGCCTGGCCAATGGCGGGCTGCAAAGGGTAAGCACAGGGGTGGGCCTCTAACCTGATTGGCTGTGTTAATGTCAATCCCATTCTTGATGTGGTCCATGGCCTTGTCCAGGTTCCCAGAACGAGCCGCACGGAGAAAACTGGTGGCAGCATCAGCCTGCAGTCAGACAGGGAGGGGGGAGAGAATAAGAGAGGAGGAAGAGAAAGGGTGTGAGGGAGACACAGAGAGGAAAGGGGGAAGGGAAGATGGAGAGAGGGAATATATAGAGATGAAGGAGAGAGACAGAGAGAAGGAAAAATAGAGAAAGGAAGGGAGAGAGAGGAAGGGGGAGGGGAAAGAGAGGGAGGGAGAAACAGGATGGGGGAGGGGGAGAAAGAGAGGGGGAAGGAGAGAGATGAGAGAGAGGAAGGGTGAGAGAAAGACTATATGTGAGACAGGTTTGCAAGATATGTTTTGGTGTTGCCGAGGTTGAGCAGTATATTACACAGTGTCAATATATTACGCAGTGTCAGTATATTACAGTGTCAGTATATTACACAGTGTCAGTATATTACGCAGTGTCAGTATATTACAGTGTCAGTATACTGTATTATGCAGTGTCAGTATATTACACAGTGTCAGTATATTACGCAGTGTCAGTATATTACGCAGTGTCAGTACACACCAGTGCTTTTCGTGTCACACTGTGAATGTCTCTTACAATCTTTCTAGCTCCCAGGTCTATCAGTATAATGGCAGATGGAATAAAGCTCATTAATCACGGCGTGTGTCTGTTTTTAATACATGCAAAATAGAAAAATGACCTGTTTTAAACAAAATTGATTGCAGCATTCTATAGAAACAGGATGCATCTGTGCTGAGAGAAGGCCACTTTCCCCCAAAATACATTAATCACAGAACAGTTTCTCTCTTCTCCCCATCCGACCTGCTTTCCAGCTTGCCTGGTCATGAAAATAGTTCCTTCAACATGCAGTGACTAAGCATGTACTTTTGTTTCTCTGATGATCCAGTCACTGAATGTGTCTTTCACTAAGTATGTAAGTAATTCTGTGTCTATGGGTGTCCAATTACTGATAACCTAACTTGTCCACCTCCCCTCAGCCACTTATATGAAAAAGTGTCTCTCATCTTCTGATGTTAAATAATATGTAATAAGCTCCATCCCCCCCACCCCGCTCCCCACCATGACCCTGACCAGTATAAGTGGGTAAAACATGGATAATAACATACTGTAATGGTTGCACACGTGGACAGCATGGTGCACTCACAGAGCCAAACGCAGAAGGCTGCAGTGACAGTCAGTGCAGCACTGACTTGTACAGTATAACAGCATCCACATAGAAGGAAGCATAATCCTGACAGTAACTTCGGAGGATGCATCAGTTTGTACACATGCAGTTAAACTGGAAGTTGTATCCTGAGGAATGGGGCTTCCTCCTGCTGCACATGAGTTGAGGGGGGTGTCAAAGAAGTACAAATCAGCTGAGCAGAAGAAGCAGAGAGTCATGCTGATCAATGAAACAGTTCCCATGGCGACTGCAAGGACAATGACTGTGTCCTGGGTGGTATCATGTTCCAGCTGAATATAACCCTGATCCTCACTCTGCAGCACAGTAACCTTTGCTTGGGTCACCGTGTCCTGGCCAAGAAGAGCACAGGCTGTCCTGATGCGGCCTTCTTCTGTTTTTCCTGCAAAAGAAGCTTGACATAGGCCTCCATCTATAGCCCTGCCTGTAACAGAAGCTTGATATAGGCCTCCA